TGTACATGCAAAGGCAATTGGTAACTGAATATTAATTTTATGTCTCATTACTTTAATAAATCCTCTTATTACTAATATTAGTTTTTTTATTGATTCATTTGGTTTCATCTGGTACATACCCTTTAATTTGCAAAATAACTTAGTTTTGACTCTCCCTTTCAAGTGTTAAGTCCTTTAATTGCTTTATTTTGTCTAACTGCATTGGCTAATCTTTTAAAAAAATTTATTGACTTTATTGGGGTGACATTGGTTAATAAAATTATATAGGTTTCAAGAGTACAATTCTATAATACATGATCTATATATTATACTAGAGGCCCAGTGCACGACATTTGTACACTTGGGGGGCGGTCAGGGGCGGGGGGAAGTCTCCTCAGCCTCGCCTGCGGCCTTTAGCAGTCAGGGAGCCCTCAGGGGATGTCCGACTGACAGCTTTAGCGAACAGAGCCTCTCCTGTCACCGCTTCTGCGCTTGCCAGCCATCAGCCCAGCTTGTGGCTGAGAGGCATTCCTCCTGTGGGAGCCCACTGATGACCAGGGCCCAGCTCCTGCATTGAACGTCTTCCCCCGGTGGTCAGTGTGCATCATAGCGACTGGTTGTTCCGCTGTTTGGTCGATTTGCATATTACCCTTTTATTATATAGGATTGTGTGCTTACCACCCAAAGTCAAGTCTTCATTCATCATCATTTATCAACCTTTACCCTCTTCTAACCCCCCTCCTTTTCTCTGATAATCATCATACTGTTGTCTGTGCCTATGAATTTTTGTGTTTTTTTGCTTAATCCTTTCGCTGTTTTTACCTTAGTCTTCCAACCTCCCTACCCTCTGACAGCTGTCAGTTTGTTCTCTGTATCTATGAGTCTGTTTCTATTTTGTTTGTTTATTTTGTTCATTAGATTCCACATATAAGTGAAATCATATGGTACTTGGCTTATTTCACTTAGTATAATATTATCCAGGTCCATCCATGCTGTCATAAAGGGTAAGATTTCCTTCTTTTTTACAGCTGAGTAGTATTCTACTGTGTAACTGTACCACAGCTGTTTATTTTAATCTCTCCCGAAGATATGTTTATTGATTTTAGAGAGAGAGGGAGGGAGAGAGAAAAACATTAATGTGAAAGAGAAACATTGACTGGTTGCCTCTCATACATGTCCCAACTGGGGATCAAACCCACAACCCAGGTATGTTCCCTGACTAGGAATCGAACCCACAACCTTTCAGTGTAGAGGAGGATGCTTCAAACAACTGAGCCACACTGGGCAGGGCTGTACCACACCTGTTTTATCCACTTATCCACTTGGGCTGCTTCCAAATCTGGGCTTTTCTCCACATCCTCGCTAAAGATTGTTGTTTGTTGATTTATTGATAATAGCCATTCTGACAGGTGTGAGGTGATATCTCTTTGTGGTTTCAATTTTCATTTCTCCGATGATTAGTGATGTTGAGCATCTTTTCATATGTCTATTGACCATCTGTATATCCTCTTTGGAGAAGTGTCTATTTTATATTCAGAGGTAAACAAGGTAGTGGTCACATAGTCACAATGTTCTTGTGAGCTTCACTTGTTTTGGCAGCACTTGCTGCACTTCCCACAGTCCATTAACTACCCAGATAGGGAGAGAGAGAGATAGAAACACCAATGATGAGAGAGAATCATTTATCAGCTGCTTCCTGCAGGCCCCACACTGGGGATCAAGCCTGCAACCCCGGGCATGTGCCCTGTCCGGGAATCGAACTGTGATCTCCTGGCTCATAAGTTGATGCTCAACCACTGAGTCACGCCAGTCGGGTTCTGCCCATTTTTTAAATTATTTTTTTGGTATTTTGGTGTTGAGTTCTTTATAACTTTTATATATTAATATCTCATAGAAGGTATCATTGGGAAATATGTTATCCTATACAGTGGGTTGTCTTTTCATTGTGTTGATGGTTTCCTTTGCTGTGCAAAAACTTTTTAGTTTGACGTAGTTTATTTTTTTCTTTTGTTTCTCTTGGTGAAGTAAATATATCCTTGTTAGGAGAAATGTTCGAGATTTTACTGCCGATGTTTTCTTCTAGGATTTTTATGTTTTCAAGTCTTATATTTAAGTCTTTAATTCATTTTGAGTTTATTCTTGTACATGGTATAAAAAGGTGGTCTAGTTTCTTCTTCTTTTTTACGTATCTGTCCAATTTCCCCAATACCACTTAATGAATATACCGTTTTTACCCCATTGTATCTTCTTGCCTCCTTTGTCAAATATTAATTGACCATAAAAGCATGGGTTTACTTCTGGGCGTTCTGTTTTGTTCCATTGATCTACATTTCTGTTTTCATGCCAGTACCATGCTGTTTTTATTAATATGGCCTTGTAGTATAATTTGATATCAGGTATCAGGATTCCTCCAACTTTTTCTTTCTCAAGACTTCTGTGCCTACTCAGGGTCTTTTGTTGTTCCATATCCTTTTTTTGGAATATTTGTCCTAGTTCTGTAAAATACACTATGGGTATCTTGATAGGAATTGCATTGAATCTATAGATTGCTTTGGGTAGTATGGACATGTTAGTCTTCTAATATATTAATTAGCTGTAGAGATACTGAACATCATTGTCTTATCCCTTATTTTAGCATGAAACCTAGTATTTCCCCATTAAGTAAATACTGGCTTTTGAGACTAAACTATAGATCATTTTATTATGTTAAATACACATTTATCAATTCCACTTTTGTTTTTTATATGACTGGATGTTAAATCTTGTCAAATGACTCCTTGTTTTAATCCTTGGAAATAATCATCTGACTTTTCTAAGTTATTATAATTTATATTTTTTACACTGAACCAATCTTGTATCCCTAAAATAAGACTCACTTGGCAATGATGTATGGTATATTGCATCATCTGGCCCCAATTCTTCACCTTTCCTTTTGTCTACATTCTTTGACCTATAATTTTTCAATGTATTGCCATTATAGGTGGGGTGACCTGTCCAGTCTGCTACCTCTAGCATTGGCCATATAACTTGCTTTGACCACTGTGGTGTTAGCAAACTTAATGTAAGCAGAGTTTGATGTACAATGAGCTTGGATCTTGCTCTCTTTGCTTCTGCCATTGCCATGAGTAAGATATATCTAAGCTAGTCCATTGGTCCAAGGAGAAGATAAGCTTGCAGAGCAGAGCTGAGTCACTCTACTCAAGGCCAGCCTAAACCAACCAAACTCTAGCTATCCACTAGATGTATGAATGAGTCTGCTCTGGCTGAGTTTAGCAGAACTGCCCAGGTGAGCACTTGTAGAACTGTGCCAGGCCAGCAGAGCCAAGGGTTCAGTGAGCCTGAGGAGGGGTGGCGAAGGATTAAAGAAAAGGCAGACAAAGAGAATAAGCTGGGTCTAGGGTGGATCTCCTGTGCCTGACTGAGGCTACGGAGAGAGAGGAGAGAGAGAGAGAGAGAGAGAGAGAGAGATCCAGACTGCAAGTTGATGCTTTATTTTATATTCAGAGGTAAACAAGGTAGTGGTCACCATAGTTACAATGTTCTTGAGCGCTTCACTTGTTTTGGCAGCACTTGCTGCACCTCCCACAGTCCATTAACTACCCACATTGGATCTAGGGAGTGTTATAAGGTCAAGCTTAATTATGCTAAGAGGGCTATGCCCTCTAAGCTGGGACTTGTTTGTAGCTTTGTCAACAGGTCAGTCGGAGGCTTAACCCTATAGTCACTCCCTACATAAAACATTTGAATTCTTCAGACACAGAAAATAATTGCTTATTATTATTATTTTTAAAATATATTTTTATTGATTTCAGAAAGGAAGGGAGAGGGAGAGAGAGTGAATCATTGATTGGCTGCCTCCTGCACACTCCCAACTAGGGATCGGGCCCACAACTCGGGCACGTGCCCTTGACCAGAAGCGAACCTGGGACCCTTCAGTCCGCAGGCTGACACTCTATTCATTGAGCCAAACCAGCTAGGGCTCATTGCTTATTATTTTAAGCCATTGAGTTTTGCAATGATTTTTTTACTCAACAAAGATCACTGATCAATTATATATCATCCTTTAATCTGCTATTGGCTGATATTTTGTTAAATATTTTTAAATTGATTTTTATAAGTGCTAGAGTATGCCCCACAAGCCCAGAGACAGAGTAATTGGCCAATACTCTGCCAAGTGCCCATCCTGATATACTTGGCTTTGGCCATGAGAGCAAGATAAGATGACCAGAAACATGGCAATCAAAGTGTATGTGGACACAAGTAGGTGTGATTGGCATAGTTTCCCAAAATAGTGGCAGACACTAAGCCTCTCATATGTGGTACACTGACTATTGCTTTCACAGAAGACAGAATTTTCTAATTTCACATTGACTTTTTCAAGCCCCTGCTTAATACAAACCCTTCCCAGTCCTCACCAAATACCTCTTTTACTGTCCTCCCAAATATTTCTAAAATCTCCTGTGATTTCTTGTCCCAATTTCTATCCAGTCGCTTTCCCCTGATCTTCCTTCAGAAGCTCTACCAGAAAAATACTTTGTTCCCTTTGCCAAAAATGTTAGAACTCTGACTTTAGAACAGGGGTCCTCAAACTTTTTAAACAGGGGGCCAGTTCACTGTCCCGTTGGAGGGCCCGACTATAGTTTAAAAAAAAAAGCTATGAACAAATTCCTATGCACACTGCACATATCTTATTTTGAAGTAAAAAAAAACAAAACGGGAACAAATACAATATTTGTATTTGCATGTGGCCTGCGGGCCGTAGTTTGAGGACCCCTGGGTTAGAACTTAAGGGCAAGTAAAGATTGCCAGGAGCTATCAGGTGGTGAAGACAGTGGAATCCAACCAGAAAGTAGAGATGGGATTCCTGTTACTGGAAACACTGACACAGGAAACATAGTGGTTCCATAGGTAGATCTACTGGCTTAAGAGGAAAGAGTGGGGTCTGGGGTTTGAGAAAATGTAAGATAATGTTGCCATCGGATAGGGGAAGGGCAACGTTTACTGAGAGATGTGGTTTAAAACTTAATTATTTTATTTTTTAACAATTCTGTCTACGTCATGTGACACATATTCCCTTGTAATGTCTGGTATATCATTAGGGTCATTGCACCTGTCATTATCTTTACAGCAATATGTTTCTCTCAGGAGATCATGGAATACCTGGAACATTCCCTCTTCACAAGTTTCACATGATAGTGTTGTATAACGATACAGGTATCTCCCTAAAGAGAAGAAAAGCAAACATGATCACCTTGCTTCCTCTCGCTATCTTCCTAGCAATGACTTCTCTCCAGAACCTTGTCAGTTTTCTGTAGGTAGTCTGGAATGAATCCAGGGCTATGTCTGCATCTCATCTATGTCTCTTTAAACAGAATCAGCCAAAGACATCTGCCTCCCACACAGTCTTCACCCCAAGTCTGTGTATGGCGAATCCCACTCTCCCCATTCTCTCCCGGTCTCCATCCATACCTTGACTCCAAGAACTGTGGGCACCACTGGTAATATTTTGTGTCCCTCTCTAACCCTCACTTACCTGTAAGGCGATCATAAAAGTAAAAGTGATCTGTGCGGCAACTCCTGTTTTGAAATGGTGTATGAATCTTCCAGCAATTTTTCATTTTTCGGTTGCAGTTCTGGCCGTCAAAAATTTCACAGTCATTGCAAAATCGAACCCCTAAAGAAAGATAGTAAAGCTTTAAAGCAGAGTTCCAGGGAAAGTGTTTCTACTTCAGAATCTCTCCGACCTATAAACATTTTTATTGAGGTGTGCAAACCTCACAAAAATAAGTTGAAAGCCTTCCCAACATCTGCCAAGGGTCCTTACTCTTTCGAGTAGGGAACAGTTATGACTCTTCATGGAGTCAAGGATATCACCCCTACCCAAGGCTGGGGCAGAAAGAAGACACAAGAGCAGGGAGTGAGAAGAGTGGAGTCAGGGAGGGCAGAGAGACAATGTGTCAAGAACTCAAGTAGGTCCCCTCTTGCTGCAACATTATTTATCCAAGGATGGCAAACCATACATTTTGTGGTCAGGACTCTGTCTCCTGTGAAGAGAAGAAGAAAAGTTCTCCATGAACCATTCTATAGCATCCCCAAGAGTCAAGTTGAGAAACCCCTTCCTTCTTTCCCATACATTCTCTCCCAACCCTCATTGCCTCCCTCACCAGGACTCACCCTCATCCATGAAGAGCACTATGAATATACCCAGCAGAAGCACTTGGAAAATCCAGGAACCCATTCCTGAGAAGTTCCCAGTGGGAGGTTGCAGCTTTATTTATTTCCATCACCTGCCCTTAGGCATCCCACTAGAGTCACAGAATCATAAATTTCAGATCAAACCACCTGAATCCTCTCTAATGTTCCCAGGAGAGGGTACACACTGTCTGTGTTTGCATTCCCCCACCCAGACACCACATTTCATTTTTATTAGATCCATCATAAGATAGTAATTAACGCTGGTGTAGAATCTCTCTCCCTTGCACCTCTTCACTCCAGTGGTATGTCTGTCTGTTGGACCATGTCTCACTTCACAGACCATGTCTCACGTCACATCTAGGTGACGTCCTTCCAGATATAACAAAGCTGGGGTCACCGTGCATCAGTGGCTTGCTCAGTCCCTTTCAGGTACCATAACCACCAGCAGTACTACACCCCTCACAAAGTAGGTCACCAAATCAGAGCCCAAGTTATGGTCTGACCTCCCAGTGTAGCACCATCTCTGAGGATGGATGAGACAGCCCAGGAAAATCGGGTGGTGGGAAGGGATGATCTCAACTTCAAGTTTGTTCATTACTTTTTTCCAAGGGAGACAAAGACCGTAAGTAATTGCAGTGGGAGAGACTTTCACTGAGCGTTATGGGAAGAAAGAGAAGTAAGTATTTAGATTAGTCACTAGAAAGGGGGTACAGAGGGAAAGGAGGCAGGGCTGGAAATGAGCCGTTCATCAGTTCCCCGCCTTTACCTTACTTCCTCCGGGTGGTGCAATATATTTGTGCCATCCATCTTTCATCGAGTAAGTGTTAACTCACCAGGGAAGCTCTTCTCATATATATACACTTTCCATGTTTGCTTTTTCTCCAGAGTACTTAACCCAGTTTTCATTCTATAGCTTTTCCTTATGGATGTTTATTTTGTCTCTCTCCCCTCATAAGGAGGAAAGCTATACGAAGGCAAGAGTTTCACATGTTGTGTTCACAGCTCTCTCCTCAGCACTAGGGTAATGCCTCGCACAGATCGGTTAATCAAAAGTATTTGAGGAAAAAATGAGTGGCTTGGTTAGTATGGTCAACCTGAGAGACACAAGAGGCACAGGGAATGGTGCCTCTATACTGACAGCCCGTAACTCTAAGTTTGCAGGATGACATTCCTGGCCTCCACCTGGAGGTTAGTAGTCACTGTGGGGAAGACAGGCAGCGGTGATGGCAGATCTCCCTGTCTTGGGGAGAGAGTGAGTTTAGAGCCAGTTATCTGAGTGGGTTCATTCAGAGACATGCCACACACACACGTGTGATGCCTCACATAATCTTCACTGTACACCGGGGGCTACCTCCCTGCTGTGACGGCCAACAAGTTCCTCTAGGTACGCACAAGGACTCTCAGAGGTCTATCTGATATGGTCATTGGGACTTCAAAAACTCACACACGGGCCATGGCAAACATTAAGACCCTAGTTGACTGTTGGGGTCCTGCCCCAGCAGGTCCAGGGGTTCCCAAAGGTGTGGACGGAGTCGGCGAAGAATGATTCTTCCCTGCAGCGACTGTGTCAAGCAGCAAGGATGGACCGGCTTCTGGCACTTGACATCAAACATCTTTGGTCATGTTATGTCCTTGTTCTCTTTGGATTCTCTGAACAACCTCATAGGTAGAAATAACTGACCTTGTCTTACAGCTGAAGACCAGGGGTGCTTAGAGTGAAAGTACTTTCCCCCAGGGAACAAGGCTTACATCTGTCTGATTCAGTGGCCACCATCTTTGCCCTACGTCTCACTCACAATCTGGAGAAGGGTCCCCAGGGCTGGAACGCTAGAGCAGCTCCACCCTGAATCGTCAGATGATAATAGGAAGAGAGGAAGGAAAAGCCAAAGGTCATCTCCACTGAAAGAAAAAATCTCCCTCTGCCTGGCAGGGGCCACATTCATGAACAAAGCTCCCACGGAAACCAGGGGGCCTCACAGCCTGGCTGACGCGCCACTGCCTGGAGGGAATTCCCAGGGGGACCACCTCTGGGAGGCTTCCCTTTGGAATGTGTGAGATGTAGGCAGCAACCTTGGATGTCAGTCCCAGAGGGTCTGTGCTCAGAGCATCAGCTTATGCCTCCAGGCAAAGGACCCTTGGGTCTGGGAAGATGCTGCTGCACCTTGACCGGGGCAACTGATAATGAAAATCTGGGCCTGGAACTCCATCTCCATACAAGCCAGGTCTCTCTCCTGTGTCTGCCCTGGTAGCTTTGACCAACTTTATTCTCTGAATGAAAGTAACAGAAATTTTGGAAATAAATCAAATTTATTAAGAAATAAATAAAATTCCCTTTATGCCCTCAAATCTGAGGGAAACAATGTGAACATTTTTCCCTATCTCTGTACAGGATTATTTCTATACACATGTCAGACGTTCATGTTAACACACGCTACCACAGTTGACATCATACAGGCTGGGGCAAAAGTAGGTTTACAGATGTTCATATGGAAAGTAATACAGTAATTAATAATAATCCAAGAATAAACTCTGTTTTGCATACTCACGACTGTAAGCCTACTTTTGCCCATCCCTGTATATGTGCTATTCTGATTTTTTATTGTGGAATTTTCGCCCTTATCACTGTCCCTCCTTATCCCTCCTAGAATGTGAAGCCCAGAATTGAGAGGAGGTTCAGGAGCTGGTCCCCAAGTCACCCCTTTAAAATGGTCGCTACCTGAACCTACCTTCCAGATTCAGCCAGAAGCCTCAGCTGGCTTCTTAGTTTTCCAACACCTGCTACCCCAGGATCTTAGTGTGGGCCACAGACAGACCTCGGGCACCTGGGGCCATCTCTGTCTCCCACGGTACAGGAACATGTGCTGGCCACCTGTTCTTTCCTCCCACCTCTGTACCTGAGCCCCCAGAAGTAGGTTCCCAGGCCTCCCCTGAGGCCTCTCCTGGGGCCAGAGTCTGCATCATCTCCCATCCAGCCCTGGCTCCATCCCAAGGCCCTGCTGCTCTTTCCTAGATGGGGGCTGTAGTACATCCTGTCCCGCCCAGAGGCACAAACCTGTAACCCATCCCTTCTTGCGACAGAAGGAGGGCAATGGATTTGAGGCCAAATGAGGCTCCTTTGTAGTCAGTCTAAAGTTGGGTTTCTGTTTCCCCTGAAGGCGGACAGTGTAAGGGCATGAGATACAGGGAACAGTAAAATGAAAACAAAAATGTTCCCAAAGAAAGTTGTCTGCATTCAAAGGTATCCTCTTCAACCACTTCTGCAAACCATGAGCACAACCCCTGGTCCTGCACAGCGGGGAGGGGGCCTGAGAGGGGACTCATCTGATCCTGCTGAGTCACTGAGAAGACGGCTGCAAACCATGAGCACAACCCCTGGTCCTGCACAGCGTGGAGGGTCCAGCTGAGTCACTGAGAAGACGAAGACTCCCTCTAGGACTGGGCTCTCTGAGAGCCCCATCCCCCAGGAGAAAGGAAGTGTGTGGTGTGAGGACGGTCATGTTTCTTCTCCACGGCATCTAATCTGCCTCACACCCACGCCTGCAGGAGAAACGGGGCTAGCCAACAAGTTCTGACACTTAGACCCAAGCTTAGATCCAAGCTCCCTCTAGCAGCCTGGATCACACCCAGAACACTGCCCTGGGTGCCTGAGTCTCACCCCAGAAACCCTGACCCACCCTCTCCTCCTCCATGTCCAGCCCAATTCAGCCTCCTGACCTAGCCCTGTTCACCCTCCTTGAACTGCACTCCAAACCTTCTAGCCTCGGACAGCCCTGAAGGCACCATGTTACCAAATGTGTAAGATACAGGAGTTGGGCACGGAAGCATCGTAGCCCCATGTCTTGACTTTGTGTATGAGAAGCCAGACTGAATCAAAATGTCACCACACTGAAAGGATGTAGGGAGATTCTAATCAGGTCTCAGTTGTCAGGTCAGGGAGACCATGTCCACAGGTGGGAGAAGTACGGGATGTGCATTTGGGGTCGGACATGGATTCTGAGTCACCACTTTTCATTAGTTCACCTCCTACCACCTGCCAGCTGTAGGAGCTTAACTCGTTTCACATGGAAGAAAGGGGATCCATTGTGGGAAGGCTGGGACTAACAACAACTAACTTCTTCACAAGGATTCCTCCAAAGATTTTCTTCAGGACACCATCTCCCGAGGCTTTTCCCAAACTGAGTCTCAGCCTAAGGGGGACAGGGCTCGGAAGCCATTTCCTCATGCCCCGTGCCATCACCCGGCTCCGGCCTTACAGTCCGGAGCTCTAATACTAACCCACCGCACTTAGGAGTGATGAGTACAGGGTGGGAGGCTCCTGCAAGACACCCCCAAGCAGCAGTTCTCAACCAATATCCGTGACTGCAGTCAAGTGGATGCTCTTCACATGCCCTTCCTTCTACAGGCTGCTGGGACATGGGCTAGTCACACTGGAGAAGAGGCACTGGGGGTTACACTGCTCCCTAGCTGCAGCCTCTGCCTGTTCTCGCCCACCCAAGAAAACCCACAAACAACGCCCACGAGGTTTTAACATTGGCCTCAAGTTTACACAAATTTGCTTTGAAAGTGCAGCGGGAAGAATGCAGGCTGGCACCAGCGAACATGACACTGTGGGATCCATTGTGTCTCTTTCCGCAGCCAAGACTGAGCTTGGTGGGTGCTCACCAGGGCTACCCAATTAAAAAGCTGTGCGGTGGGGCTGAGTTGAGAACAGGAAACGCTTTGTTTTTCTTGTTTTCCATGAAAGCGAGAATAAATGTTGGAAACTTCAGCCATCAGGAGCCACTCTCTGAGAAGGTCACACACAGGGCCAGGGAGGACAGTGGGCATGGGATGAGGAACTTGGCAGTGGGGGTGGGATGTAGGAGTGCCCTGATAATGGTTAACGGCTGGCAGGGCTTGGATTCGGCGTGTGTGGGAGTGGGCAGGAAGGTCAAGAACAGTGTCTTCTACAGTGACTTTTGAAGATGGAGGCTCAGGTTCAGAACAGATTGGTTTCTCAGATGAGTGAGCAGCAAGCGAGTTAAGTGAGCTCTGATTCACTGAAAGAGGGTTAGAGCTGTTGCTCTGCAAACCAGAGCAACCACAGACGGAGGCAATAGTCAAGGGATTGTACTAGTATATAACCCCAAAAGCAACTCGACTGAACTGTTAGGGGATGTTCTCCCTATAGCTCAGTGGTTCTCAACCTTCTGGCCCTTTAAATACAGTTCCTCATGTTGTGACCCAACCATAAAATTATTTTCGTTGCTACTTCATAACTGTAATGTTGCTACTGTTATGAATCGTAATGTAAATATCTGATATGCAGGATGGTCCTAGGCGACCCCTGTGAAAGGGTCGGTTGTTCGACCGCCAAAGGGGTCGCGACCCACAGGTTGAGAACCACTGCTATAGCTCTTCCTCCTTCTCTATTTTACCAAATGCCCAAAGAGGTCGCAACCCACAGGTTGAGAACCGCTGTGTTAGGGGATGTTCTCCCTATAGGTCTTCCTCCATCTCCATTTTACCAAATGTGTAAAATACAGGAGGAGCTGGGCACAGAGGCAACATAACCCAATGTCTTTACTCTGTGTAGAAGAAACAAGATTGCATGAAAATGTCACCACAATGTAAAGGTCCCTTGTCTTAGGGACTTTCTGGAAATCTGAGTGACTCTCTAGCTGCCCAACTCCTAGGCCTAAGTAGTTTTCTAGGAGAAGGCATAAAGGGGCTGGTTCAGAATTATTAGAAAAGATGCTATTCCTAGACCAAGCCTGAAGGCTGAGTCACTTCTACCACCCCACCCTGCCACCTTACACTGTACTTTGCTTTCCCGAAGGCCTGACCTGGAGTTCTCGCATATCTTCCTATCTTGGGAAAAACAAAGTCAATTCTTCAAGTCTTTTCTCGCATAGCTTCCTATCTTGGGAAAAACAAAAAGTCAATTCTTCAAGTCTTTCCACAGTGAGTGAATGAGAGAGAGCATCGAAGTCACAGCACTGTTTACAAAGGGACTCAGCTCTGAAGTGCTGTGGTTACGGCATTTGAAATGGTGCCCGGTGCACCAGGCATCCCTCCTGGGCCTCATTGGTGGTGCTACTGCAACCTCTGTGTTGTCTTCCTGCCTGTAGTTTCTTGACCTTCCCGTCTAATTAATACTATGCCTCTTCCCCACTGAAACCAAGGTGCAGCAAGGGTGAGGTTAATGACAGTGTCCCCTCTGCTTACCCCGCAGCCAAAGGAAAAGACCTATTATTACAGACAAACACATCCTGCCCTAGATCACAGAGGCCATTTGAGATGCAAAACCAGGCCCATATCAGACATGGAGAAACTGTTAAGGGCCTGATTGAAGATCTGACACAGAGGCCTATCCCTCTCAGCACCGTGACTGATCAGAGCCAAAGCGAAAAGTTTGTGATGTTGAAAGAAAAGGCTGGACCCAACTACAACGTTGAATTTGCTACCAGCTCTTGGTGGTTTAAATGATCTAAGAATCATTACTCATCACATAATGTGAGTGAGGAGTCTGCAGTTGCGATGTAAAGGCAGCTGAGGAATTTTTGGAGACTCTGGGTAAGTTTGATTAGAGAAGGAAATTACTTGCCAGAGAAAGTATTTCATATGGATGAAACCTCCCTATTCTAAAAATGAACTGCCTGAAAGGACTTTCATCCACATGGAGGCCACGTCAATGCCAGGTTTCAAGGCTTTTAAGGACAGGATAACATTCTTGCTTGGGGGCAATGTTGCAGGCTACAAATTGAAACCTCTGTGATCTGGAACCGTGAGAACCCCAGGGCCTTCAAGCATATCAATAAGTACACACTGCAAGTGTACTATAGGGGCAGTAAAAAGTAATGGAGCCTGGCCAGTGTGGCTCAGTGGTTGAGTGTTGACCTATGAACCAGGAGGTCACGGTTCAATTCCCGGTCAGGGCACATGCTTAGGTTTTGGGCTCGATCCCCAGTAGGGGTTGTGCAGGAGTCACCGATCAATGATTCTCTCTCATCAATGTTTCTATTTCTCTGTTCCCTCTCCCTTCCTCTCTGAAATCAATAAAACTATATATATTTTTTAAATGCCATGGATGTCTCAGCTTCTCTTCAGATGCCCTCCTGAATTGTTATGCTAGTGAAATGGAGGAATACTGTTCCAAGAATAACATGTCTTTCCTGATTTTATTGCTGATAATGCTTCCAAACATCTGGAAATAGAAGCCCTCCTAACTTTCTATCCGCTATTTTCTTGCGATGGGAAGGTGAAATGGGGTGAAAAATGACTATAACAAAAAATTATCAAATGGGCTTTAAGAGTTTGTAACATCTTTCTGCTTATAATACTGGAAATATGACTTGTCTTTTATTTATTTTTTATAGGAGAAAATGTTAAAGGTAATAATTGCTGACATTACCAACTTATCTAAGATCTTCAGTGAGTTTAGTAAAATTACTGAAATGGATTATTGTGTTTTTTTTAAAAAAAGATTTGTTATTGATTTTAAAAGAGACTGGGGAAAGGAGAGGGAGAGAGAGTGAGAAACATCGATGTGAGAGCAAAACATAGATTGGCTGCCTCCTGCATGCCCCAAACCGGGAATGGAGCCCACAACCAAGGCAAGTGCCCAGACTGGGAACTGAACCAACCAATCAAGCCACACCAGCCAGGGTTGTATTTTCAATATCTGTAATTTAAGTTAGAGGGAAGGAGGAAAAGACATATTGGAAACATCAATAAATAAACATCACCAACATTTTTATTTAAAGAAATATGCAGAATCAAATTGTCTAGAGAGACCATTTGAGTGATACCATCTGGAACATGGTCTGGCTTTATTAAGGAGGGGAGGGAAAATATTTGCAACCTTTTAATTTTGGAATGTCTAGGATTACAAAGTACCAAAACGAACACCAGATAGTAATTAAAAAATAGTGATCATTCAAGTTTGGTGAAATGAAATCTCTTATTTTCAAATAAAATTGTTTTCCCTTATTTCCTTGTTAGCCACAAGCTAACATGGTAAAGGTGTGGTTTGAAGATGTCAGTTATTAACTTTTTTAAAGAAAATATTAAAATTCCATTTCAATCGAGTATGCATGTTAAACGTTCCTTTCTGTGGTCTATCATTGCCAAAGATGCTTGTTGACACAGAAAACTGCACTTTTATTTTTTAGTCATTGAAAACCACTGAAGACTTTTAATCAGGGGAGTGAATGAACAGATTGTTTTAGAAAAAAAAACAAAAACCTCCGGGAGCAGTAGAAAGGAAAAACTTAGGGATAAGGGTGCTGAAGGGATGGAAGACAGCTGAGGAAAAAGAAGTGTACACGTGACCGTGAGATGGAAAGAGCAGAAGACATTCTAAATGACTGATACCTTTTTTTAAATAAGATCTAAGAGATAATTGGAGAATAACTGTGAGATTTCAAAGGTGGGCATCAGTGTATGAGTTAGGAAAGCAGAGAGAAAAGGCATTGGATGTACCTGCAAAATATTCCAGGAGATGTCCTATGGGACAATGCAAATTGCAAAAGAGCAGTCAGGTATATGACTTCGCAGAAGTGTGACTGACATGACGCGGCATTTGATGCTTATAGAGAAGGGACTTGGACCCTGTCCCACACTGCTGGTAAGTTTCATACAATCATGCTTGAAAGCAATCTGGCCACAAACATCAAAATCCTTAAAAGGAGCAAACTCATTATACCAGGAATCATACTTCAGGGAATGTCTAGTAGAAAAGTAATGGTGAATGGTTCCAGAGAATGAACTAATAACATTAACTTAGCTTGTTTATAGTAGCAAAATAATAGAAAATTACCAAATGTCCAGAAACAGGAAACCAATAAACTAAGATCCTGCCCGGAGCGGTGGGCTCCGTGGTTAGAACGCCGGCGTATGCCCTGAAGGGGCGCGGGTTCGATTCCCGGTCCAGGGCCTGCATCTGGGGTGCGGGTTCGCTCCCCACTCCGGGTCGGGATGTGTGCAGGAGGCAACCAGTAATATATTCATTCTCTCTCTCTCTCTCTCTCAAAAGCAATGGAAAAAAATATCCTCTTGTGAGGATAAACAACAACAACAAAAACTAAGATCTTTACATATTGGAACTCTTTGCTACTATTTAAAATAATGTTATAAAAATTATTCCAATATATGGGATGTTCCCTGAGACGAAGGGAGAGTAAGAGGTAACAGGGCCGCGGAAAGGTCTCCACGCGCGTCCGAGCCTTCACACAGAGCCCGCGTAGCAGACTCGGTGGACAGGCTGAGCGCGGAGGCGGGATCGGGGTCACGACTCCGCGTCGAGAACCCACCTGCCGCCGCCGACCCCGCAGAGCCGGGAGGGGGGAAGATTAATTCCGTGAGGTGGACGGGGCGCTGAGACCGCCGCAGACAGGGGTTTGAGCGTTCTCCCCTCCGCGTCCCGTCGGCCTGGCGACGAAGAGACGGTTCAGCGCTCGCGCTCAAACGCCGCGGGACTCGGACGCGTCCCCATCACCCGCCGAATCCCGAACTTCTTCCCGCCCGAGGGGAGGGACAAGAAAAACAATCAACCAATCAGAATGTAGAAGTGAAAGGCGTTTGCCCTCCGGACCAATAGGAGCGATGGAGACGAAGGGAGAGTAAGAGGTAACAGGGCCGCGGAAAGGCCTCCACGCGCGTCCGAGCCTTCACACAGAGCCCGCGTGGCAGACTCGGTGGACGGGCTGAGCGCGGAGGCGGGGTCGGGGTCACGACTCCGCCTCGAGAACCCACCTGCCGCCGCCGACCCCGCAGAGCCGGGAGGGGGGAAGATTAATTCCGTGAGGTGGACGGGGCGCTGAGACCGCCGCAGACAGGGGTTTGAGCGTTCTCCCCTCCGCGTCCCGTCGGCCTGGCGACGAAGAGACGGTTCAGCGCTCGCGCTCAAACGCCGCGGGACTCGGACGCGTCCCCATCACCCGCCGAATCCCGAACTTCTTCCCGCCCGAGGGGAGGGACAAGAAAAACCATCAACCAATCAGAATATAGAAGTGAAAGGCGTTTACCCTCCGGACCAATAGGAGCGCTGGAAGGCGGGGCCGAGGGCGCCGGTTGGTTCTAGTGATTTAAACCTCTGCGTCCGGCGGTTGGGGCGTGCGCCGTGCGTGAGCAGGAAGTGCGCCTGCGCAGGCTGCGGGACGCCAACTGACACCTGCGGAGCTGAGGACCCGGGTGGCGAGCGGACCTCGGCGGAGCGGGTAAGCGGGAGGGGATGGGAGAGGTGGAGTGGGGCCCGGAGAGCTGCCCGGCTGCTGGGGAGAGGTCGGGGCTGAGTACGCAGAGTTGACTTCCCGGCCCGGGTACCGATGCCCTGGTGCGCAGTCCGGAGCCCGGACGTACCGTCTGCCCGAGTCCGCAGCTTTCTCAGATGCTCCTTGCGGCGACGCAATGGACCCTCGGCAGCCGGAGCCCCCCGATATCACGGTGGTCGGGGTTCAGCGAGGTGGACGGGCCAGGGGTCGGGGGACGGGCGCAGCGAGGGAGCCGGACTACCCCGAAGCGTCACAAACAAACGACACCCAGCGTGGGCCAGGTGGTGGCGACTCGGTCTCTCTGTAAACTTGAGTGTAAAAGGCTGCTCACCCCCTCGTCACCCCTTTTTTGAACCAATAGGTGTCGCCCTGCGAGAAGCTCTTTCCCCAGATGTATTAGGATCTGAAATCCAACCCTACAGCCCTACCCTAAAATGAAAATAAACCTTCCCTCCGCTCCTGATGATACAAATTTCACAATCTCATTGTTTTCATAAGTAAATCAAGCAATATTAGGTACGTATAAAGAAGAGTAGAAGAAGATACTAGAAATTCCATCAGCCAAAAACAAAACAAAAACCCTCACCTTTGGGTTTATTGCAGATGTATTCATTATGAATATATATTTACGTGGCTATACTTATACAAGTATTTTTATGTAACTGCATATTTTGAATATAGTAAAGCATATTCACTTAAAAAGCAGATTGCGCCCTAGTAATGTTTTAGGAACACGTGTCCATCAAATGTAGACATGCATTATCCCCTGTGATGCATGCGTGGTAACTCTTGCGTGCATTATGTAACCGAATATTAAATAACCAGTCCTGAAATGATGGACATGTGCTTTTTCAGTCTCTTCATCGTCATAGGATGGCAAGATTATTCGTACGTATACTTGGTTGCATCCTTATCCCGTTTGTGGCCTTACAATAATTCCCGGAAGTGGATGATGGCTTAGAAATTATGGTGCAATTTAAGTTCGGGTTCATAATGTCACATTTGCCCTCTAGAAACATTGATATACCCCTCCCCACTCCACCCACACACATACAGAGGGAGAGGTTGCTTTTTTCTCTGTACACTGACCAGCACTGGATACTGACAAGTTTTCTAGAAGGATGTCTTTTAATGCTTTTATTTGCATTATTAATGAGACTAGAGGCCCGGTGCTCGAATTCGTGCACAGGTGGGGTCCATCCAGCTGGGCTGGGTGGAGGGGGGAGCATGGTAGGTTGGCCACTGGCCCTGTCCCTGATTGGGG